GCACTGTTGTAAAATGAATAGATACTTAGGTGCCAATTACATACTTTCTCATTATAAAGAGGATTTATTACACTCTTATTAAGCAGCTTATCGTATTCAGTTAATTAACTCCTGCTCCATTTGTATCTCCTTGTGCTGTGTGTATCGTACAAACGTGGTAGGAATGTATTCCTTCCTCGGTATTTATTTGGTGCTTGGACAAGTGTCAGCTATTGTGCTCTGAGTACCCCTGGAAGGCCCTGATGCGATTATGTCCAATACTTGTTCCTCTGTGCCTGGAACCCGAAAATCTATCGTGCACTATCTTCCTGGAACCACTTTCCTCGCCCTTTGTTAGCGTGAGTTCTTTCAGGTCCTGCTATGTTACTGTAGCATTTCCCTTGAACTAATTGCATGTCTGCAAATTCCTGAAAGGAAATTGAAAGTAAATCACAGTTTGACAAATTATTGTTATTATTGACAAGGGCTATCCACCTGTAACTATCTGTTAATGACAAAAAACATTATTGCTGCTGTGACTTTTCATCAAAAAATTGCAGAAGAGAACTTTTTTGACATAATTTTTTTTTGTAATTTGAAGCAAAGATTTTAGTGATATTAGCGATATATACGACAATGGTTTCCAAGAAACAGATGCTGATTATGATAGCAACGATAGCATAGTCTATAAAAATTATTTTCCATACCAAATTGATGAGGAAATATATAATGAGGAACTTGGAAATTTGTGGAACGTGCAGAAGCGAAAATCAAAAACTCCTTCCACAAAAATTACCGACAAGAAATCAAAATTATCGAAAGATGCAAAATCATTTATAGGGAGACATAGGAGCTTAGGAGCAAATTTTCATCAAGGGCCCCTTGATACATTTTTGTTCGGTAAAGATGGTTATAAGTGGTTTACTAATCGGCCAGAACCGACAAAAGCAAAACACCAGCAAGAAACGTAGTTTACATTAGACCAGGTCCAGTTGGTACAGCTAAGAACTGTTCTGAGCCACTAGATACATACTTTTTATTTCTTGACGATGACGTTCTGTCTAAGATACTGATTCATACAAACGAAAAAATAATCGCCTTGCAACAAAAATATAAAACACAAAATGCTTCTCCTTCTGTAACTTCAATCTGCGAACTGAAAGCTGTATTTGGATTTTTAATCCTACCTGCCGCCTTGAAGGACAATCATCTCTCAGCTGACTTCATATTCCAGATATCGTATGGCTGTGATCAAAACAAGGTTTCTCTCTGCTCTAAGATTTGACGACCATCCAACCAGACCAGAACGGAGAGTAGCATCCAGGATCGCACCTGTGTCAGAAATATGTAAGATGCTCATCAAAAGTTGCTCAACCAAATATAAACCCAGTGCACATCTATATTATATTGCACAAAATAACACTTATAATAATACGTAAAATTTATGTATGGTTGGCGACAAAGTAATATTTTGGAACGTTGGCGGTGTAGGGTTAAGCAATAGCTGATGTTAATTATTTAAATATTAACTTAGTAATTGGCAACGCCGGACGCCGCTTAGTTAGGATAAATGACGGAGAGGTGGCGTGCCTATATAAAAGATTGCCAATTTGGTGATGACTTTTGTACCTTGCTCGTGACAAGAAGCCTGCTTGTTTTCACAAATACATACAGTTGAATAATACAAGTGCCTTTTTATCAAAAAATACCCACGGCTAGCTGACCCAGTCAAAAATAAGTGTTGAAGCTAGCACCTAAACAGCTGACGCTTCCGATTTTGCAAGAGGAGAAGTGGTAGACAAAGACGATATGTGGAAATTCTATAAAATCCTATTCAAAACGGTTTACTCCAGCACGTTGAATACAGTGCAAGTGACCGGAAACTTGTACCAATTTACTCGGCAGCCAAATTCAGTGGCTATGCAAATCGCAAGCTTTTTACTGGTGCTTCCAATCGAACATTCTCAGATAATGCCGATGAATCCTGGTTCGTGCATGCATTCACAAATCAACAGAGTTTTGGAATGAGAAGCGCTATTATAGTTAATTAGGTGGAAAGCTGAAGCCGACTTCGGTGAATCCTGAAAATCGGCCCAACGCTGAGCTGCGGAACTCGGAAAACTTCGTATCGGGTAACGTGAGCCCCAGAAAGTGAAGGCCCAAACACTAGCTGGGCCAAGAGGGCAATAAGTAAAACAGTTCAGGCTGTAGCGTGTTGTCATCAACTTATTTAGTGAGGGCAAGGTAATCAATTAACTAACACCATTCATTCGCACATACAACCAAAATGGAGAAAATGTGCTGCAGTTCCGTACGTTGCCGAAGTTTTAAAGAATTCTAATACTGTAAACTTTCAATCCAAAAGCGATTTTTTAGTTGACAAAAATCCAACACTACCGGGGCACTCCTGTCTTGGCAACCGCGAGAGTGTGATTTTTAATCTGCAGCTACCGGGCGAAAAAAATATAGTGATCATGTAGGCATTTAATAAAAATTACTTACTTAATACAATTATTTATTACTTAAAATTAAACACAATTTGTACAAAATAATTGATTCTCTGAGCTCTAAACAAAAGTTGGCGATGTATTTTTTATTTTTATTTGTAACAGTACAACAAATCTACAGCCCCAACTGGAGTGCCTTCGATTTAACCCTTGCATATTTCTAGGCTCTTTATAATAAAATCTGACAATGTATTTTAAAAAATTMTCATATTTTAAGAAAAAACCGTTCTGTTTAAATACAACTGGCAGATCCCTAACAGTAATTAGTGTCTTGTTGAACAAATAGAAAGGTGTCTGTACTAATAATTGTCACTGCAGTGATTTGAAGATGAGAGCATTTGGAACCTGAATTTTGTTTTGGTATTTATCTGT